TCTTCAGAAGATAGGTACACTGCAGTTAGTTGTTTTCAGAAGATAGCTACACTGCAGTTAGTTGTTTTCAGAAGATACTTCCTATGTAAACAGTACTGTATCCCGCTGTTTGAATTACACATACAATGTCATGTATTTTCGTTTCTCCCTCACACGCCCTTTACATACTCTCCAACATTACACTCTTACCCCCCTTCCACACACACACATACACACACACACACACACACACACACACACACACCACACACACACACACACACACACACACACACACACACACACACACACACCATCAGATATTTCACATCAACATTTCAACTCCCAACCCAACGAGGCCACAACCCCTTGCTTTAAAATCATGCTGACTCTTAAAGAGAAAGAGAATATGACTTCATCCACCCTCTGTACACTCTCTCTACCCAATATATCACCAGCTTTCTCCCACTCTCTCCTTCCTGTGTTCATTGTATCGAAAATTCTAGCTGCCTGGGTTAACTTTCAAGAATATAATGCATAATTTCTATTTTTCGTTTCCAATTATGTTATTGTTTTGTACTTCTCGACCCTCAAAGTTACGCTAAGTATAAGGAAATAAGATGTTTTTTTGAGTTTAATATAAAGAAATCAAAGTATTTATACGACCAGTAGCTGATACGCAGGATTAATGGAACTCCCTGACAGGCTGGGTACACACAGCGGGTCCAGGATTATAAATTTATTTTTTTTGTGTGTGCTATTTTCAGCGCACTAAAAGGTGTGTGTAGGCACTGTGTATGTGTGTAGGCACTGTGTATGTGTGTAGGGTCTGTGTATGTGTGTAGGCACTGTGTATGTGTGTAGGGTCTGTGTATGTGTGTAGCCACTGTGTATGTTTGTAGGGTCTGTGTATGTGTGTAGGCACTGTGTATGTGTGTAGGCACTGTGTATGTTTGTAGGCACTGTGTATGTTTGTAGGGTCTGTGTATGTGCGTAGGCACTGTGTATGTTATTAGGGTCTGTGTATGTGTGTAGGCACTGTGTATGTGTGTAGGCACTGTGTATGTGTGTAGGCACTGTGTATGTTTGTAGGCACTGTGTAGTGTGTAGGCACTGTGTATGTGTGTAGGCACTGTGTATGTGTGTAGGCACTGTGTATGTGTGTTTTCGTTGTGTATGTGTGTAGGGTCTGTGTATGTGTGTAGGCACTGTGTATGTGTGTAGGCACTGTGTATGTGTGTAGGCACTGTGTATGTGTGTAGGCACTGTGTATGTGTGTAGGCACTGTGTATGTGTGTAGGCACTGTGTATGTGTGTAGGGTCTGTGTATGTGTGTATGTACTGTGTATGTGTGTAGGCACTGTGTATGTGTGTAGGCACTGTGTATGTTTGTAGGCACTGTGTATGTGTGTAGGCACTGTGTATGTGTGTAGGCACTGTGTATGTGTGTAGGCACTGTGTATGTGGGCAGGCACTGTGCATGTGTGTAGTCACTGTGTATGTGTGTAGGGTCTGTGTATGTGTGTAGGGTCTGTGTATGTGGGTAGGCACTGTGTATGTGTGTAGGCACTGTGTATGTGTGTAGGCACTGCGTATGTGTGTAGGGTCTGTGTATGTGTGTAGGCACTATGTATGTGTGTAGGCACTGTGTATGTGCGTAGGCACTGTGTATGTGTGTAGGGTCTGTGTATATGTGTAGGGTCTGTGTATGTGTGTAGGCATTGTGTATGTGTGTAGGGTCTGTGTATGTGTGTAGGCACTGTGTATGTGTGTAGGGTCTGTGTATGTGTGTAGGCACTGTGTATGTATGTAGGGTCTGTGTATGTGTGTAGGCACTGTGTATGTGTGTAGGGTCTGTGTATGTGTGTAGGCAGTGTGTATGTGTGTAGGCACTGTGTATGTGTGTAGGCACTGTGTATGTGTGTAGGCTCTGTGTATGTGTGTAGGCACTGTGTATGTGTGTAGGCACTGTGTATGTGTGTAGGCACTGTGTATGTGTGTAGGCATTGTGTATGTGTGTAGGCACTGTGTATGTGTGTAGGCACTGTGCATGTGTGTAGGCACTGTGCATGTGTTAGGCACTGTGCATGTGTGTAGGCACTGTGCATGTGTGTAGGCACTGTGCATGTGTGTAGGCACTGTGCATGTGTGTAGGCACTGTGCATGTGTGTAGGCACTGTGCATGTGTGTAGGCACTGTGTATGTGTGTAGGCACTGTGTATGTGTGTAGGCATTGTGTATGTGTGTAGGGCACTGTGTATGTGTGTAGGCACTGTGCATGTGTGTAGGCACTGTGCATGTGTGTAGGCACTGTGCATGTGTGTAGGCACTGTGCATGTGTGTAGGCACTGTGCATGTGTGTAGGCACTGTGCATGTGTGTAGGCACTGTGCATGTGTGTAGGCACTGTGTGTGTAGGCACTGTGTATGTGTGTAGGCACTGTGTATGTGTGTAGGCATTGTGTATGTGTGTAGGCACTGTGTATGTGTGTAGGCACTGTGCATGTGTGTAGGCACTGTGTATGTGTGTAGGCACTGTGCATGTGTGTAGGCACTGTGCATGTGTGTAGGCACTGTGTATGTGTGTAGGCACTGTATATGTGTGTAGGCACTGTGTATGTGTGTAGGCACTGTATATGTGTGTAGGCACTGTATATGTGTGTAGGCACTCTATATGTGTGTAGGCACTGTATATGTGTGTAGGCACTGTATATGTGTGTAGGCACTGTGCATGTGTGTAGGCACTGTATATGTGTGTAGGCACTGTGCATGTGTGTAGGCACTGTGCATGTGTGTAGGCACTGTATATGTGTGTAGGCACTGTGCATGTGTGTAGCACTGTGTATGTGTGTAGGCACTGTGCATGTGTGTAGGCACTGTGCATGTGTGTAGGCACTGTGTATGTGTGTAGGCACTGTGCATGTGTGTAGGCACTGTGCATGTGTGTAGGCACTGTGTATGTGTGTAGGCACTGTGCATGTGTGTAGGCACTGTGCATGTGTGTAGGCACTGTATATGTGTGTAGGCACTGTGCATGTGTGTAGGCACTGTATATGTGTGTAGGCACTGTGCATGTGTGTAGGCACTGTGTATGTGTGTAGGCACTGTGCATGTGTGTAGGCACTGTGTATGTGTGTAGGCACTGTGCATGTGTGTAGGCACTGTGCATGTGTGTAGGCACTGTGCATGTGTGTAGGCACTGTGCATGTGTGTAGGCACTGTGCATGTGTGTAGGCACTGTGTATGTGTGTAGGCACTAAGCATGTGTGTAGGCACTGTGCATGTGTGTAGGCACTGTGCATGTGTGTAGGCACTGTGCATGTGTGTAGGCACTGTGTATGTATGTAGGCACTGTGCATGTGTGTAGGTACTGTGCATGTGTGTAGGCACTGTGCATGTGTGTAGGCACTGTGCATGTGTGTAGGCACTGTGCATGTGTGTAGGCACTGTGCATGTGTGTAGGCACTGTGTATGTGTGTAGGCACTGTGTATGTGTGTAGGCATTGTGTATGTGTGTAGGCACTGTGTATGTGTGTAGGCACTGTGCATGTGTGTAGGCACTGTGCATGTGTGTAGGCACTGTGCATGTGTGTGGGCACTGTGCATGTGTGTAGGCACTGTGCATGTGTGTAGGCACTGTGCATGTGTGTAGGCACTGTGCATGTGTGTAGGCACTGTGCATGTGTGTAGGCACTGTGTGTGTAGGCACTGTGTATGTGTGTAGGCACTGTGTATGTGTGTAGGCATTGTGTATGAGTGTAGGCACTGTGTATGTGTGTAGGCACTGTGCATGTGTGTAGGCACTGTGTATGTGTGTAGGCACTGTGCATGTGTGTAGGCACTGTGTATGTGTGTAGGCACTGTGCATGTGTGTAGGCACTGTGCATGTGTGTAGGCACTGTGTATGTGTGTAGGCACTGTATATGTGTGTAGGCACTGTGTATGTGTGTAGGCACTGTATATGTGTGTAGGCACTGTATATGTGTGTAGGCACTGTATATGTGTGTAGGCACTGTATATGTGTGTAGGCACTGTATATGTGTGTAGGCACTGTGCATGTGTGTAGGCACTGTATATGTGTGTAGGCACTGTGCATGTGTGTAGGCACTGTGCATGTGTGTAGGCACTGTATATGTGTGTAGGCACTGTGCATGTGTGTAGGCACTGTATATGTGTGTAGGCACTGTGCATGTGTGTAGGCACTGTGCATGTGTGTAGGCACTGTGTATGTGTGTAGGCACTGTGCATGTGTGTAGGCACTGTGCATGTGTGTAGCACTGTGTATGTGTGTAGGCACTGTGCATGTGTGTAGGCACTGTGCATGTGTGTAGGCACTGTATATGTGTGTAGGCACTGTGCATGTGTGTAGGCACTGTATATGTGTGTAGGCACTGTGCATGTGTGTAGGCACTGTGTATGTGTGTAGGCACTGTGCATGTGTGTAGGCACTGTGTATGTGTGTAGGCACTGTGCATGTGTGTAGGCACTGTGCATGTGTGTAGGCACTGTGCATGTGTGTAGGCACTGTGTCATGTGTGTAGGCACTGTGCATGTGTGTAGGCCTGTGTATGTGTGTAGGCACTAAGCATGTGTGTAGGCACTGTGCATTGTGTGTAGGCACTGTGCATGTGTGTAGGCACTGTGCATGTGTGTAGGCACTGTGTATGTATGTAGGCACTGTGCATGTGTGTAGGCACTGTGCATGTGTGTAGGCACTGTGCATGTGTGTAGGCACTGTGCATGTGTGTAGGCACTGTGTATGTTTATGTCCATTTTTCCCGGAGGAAGTCCACAGCTTTCGCCAGATTTTCAAAGTAAATCCACGACCCCGTGAGATTATTATTATAATCAAAAAGAAGCACTAAACCCACCAGGGTCTTGCAGCTCTGTTGACCCCATGAGAAACTTGACTATGTGACTGATTTACCTTCAATCAAGGCTACGGGAGTGATCTACTCCTATCAAATCTGAGGGACTGAGCACCCTAGAATTACCTCTCCACTTCTATTGTTTTCGGTATAGAAGTCACCTCCACATTCGACTGAAGAAGGTGCATGTACGTGCGAGACGTTGCAGCAACACAGAAACACTGTGTTTCATTCAGTAAGCCTCTGCCTGAGTCCCTTGGCCTGTCTCAGTGACGTAAAAATTTGAGAAAAGCCAATTGAAACAAGTGGATATAACAGTTGGAGAGCAAACACTCACTAACCAACATCTTGGCTACAGATAAACATTTTTTTCTGTGTCTGTTGTATAAAACTGCTACGAATGTTATTGATATTTTTGTCTCATCCTTCTACTGTTCTTTCTATTTTTGTTTCCACTTTTATCGCTGTTGCTCCTATTTCTCCAGTTTTGCTTTTTTTTGTTCACATTTTCTTCTGTTTCTCTAATTCCAATTTCTCTGTTCTTCTCTCATTCGCTGTTTTTGTTGACTTTAATTACACTCGTTGAAATTTTTGTTTTAGTGGTCAAATGGTGGCGTGTCTTCTATTGTGCCTCGTTATTGGTTCAACTGCCCCTCTGATCCTGACCAATCAGAGCAGCAGAGCACTTTAGCTGCTTGCGCTAGTTACATGCTGATTGGCCCAGAGTAATTGGATTGGCTTTTGCAGCAGTCATTTTTTTTTGTGACGTGTTTACGAAAAATACTTATATCTTCGGTGTGTGTGTGTGTGTGTGTGTGTGTGTGTGTGTGTGTGTGTGTGTGTGTGTGTGTGTGTGTGTGTGTGTGTGTGTGTGTGTGTGTGTGTGTACTACCCATTTATATATTTTTGGGGGGGGTCGAATTTAAGCTCTTGATCCTGCCTCATCATTGGTAGTTGCCTGGTTCGCTCCATCTCTCTTGGGCCACCATCATACCTTTTCGTAATGCTGTGTATGGAAACTACATCCATCTCTTCTTCGTCCAGGTTATTCCACTCCATGATCACCCTGATGCTAAAGAAATACTTCCTGACGTCTGTAGTTTTTCTTTCACCATATGAAAAAACCCGGTTTCGGAGCGAGCAGATAGAGAATATTTCAACGTTAACTCTCAACTCTTGCGAAGGTTTTCGAGTGGAAAGTTAGATCCGCATTTGTAAAAAAAAAAAATTTGGTTTTCACCGTCTGGTAATACTGGTTGGATGTAGGAGCCTGGCAACACTGTTTAACCATAAGACCGGAAAACAATGATTTACTGTTAAACGAACTCTCCTTTCCACCGGAAATCCCATCGACAGGAACACCACATCCAGGTACCCAGCTCCCTCACCCCCAGCTCGGGGAGGAGCTGTGACTCGACCCCTCCCCATATTAGGTTTACCTAACAACCAAAATAGGAGGACCTCCCTCAACCAAAATTGCAAGTATTTGTGAATCAACTGCAGTCCCTCACCATTTTTTAAAACCCACAGTTACGTAAATCCTAAACTCCAAAATACACCCTCAACAAAAATTTGATTTGGTCCGGGGGGAAGGTGGGGGGGGACTTGGGTAGGAGACGTTGGGGTTTAGGAGGGGAATGCGAAAGTGGGATAGGTGTTGAAGCGAAGGGAAAACAGTAGGAGACTGAGGGGAATGTCGGATCGAGTTATTATTATTATATTTTTTATATATATATAATATATTATAAATATATATTTAAATATATATTATTATATATTATATATATTTATTTTAAAATTATTATATATTTATATTTATATTTTATATATTATTTTATATCTTTAAAAAATATATATTATATATATAATATTTTTTATTATTTTATATATATATAATAATATATAAAATTTTATTAATTTGCAAAAAAAACCCCAAAAGAATAGGATTTCCCAACCTTGGAAAATCACCCTTTACTGGGACTATAGTTGTCCAATTGAATTACCAAAGTTGGGGGCCGGGAAGTCTGCCCACAGGAATAAAGACCCCGGTCCCTTTAAAACGTATAAAATTTGAAATTTAAAACCTTGGGTATAAAAAATCCAAATTTTTTAAAGAATTGGGGAGATCATACACCCCGGGGCCCCAAAATTTTTGTTGGGGTGGTTTTCCAAAGGGGGGAAATGTTCCAATTGGCTCCGCCGCCTCAGGGGGAGGTAATTTTTTTGTACTTGTCCCCTTTGCAGACTTTAAAATGTTTTTGTTTTTAAAAAAGTTTCCTGAAAAAAATTTGGGGGTGGGGGAGGTAAAAAACCCGGGGAAAGGCTTGGGTTTTTTTTTCTTAGAGGGTTTGTTTTTTCCCTATATTATATATTATATATATATATTTATATATATATATATTATTTATATATATATTATATAATATTTAAATAAATATATTATATTATATTATTTATATATATATATTTTTATATATATATATATATATATATAAATATCTCATCATAAAAGGGTTTAGGTGTTTTGTGGGGGGGCAGTGGGGTGTAGTCTCGTCCAAATATCCCATACTTTAACCTTTTATTTTTATAGTTCCTTGAAAAAGTGGAGGTCACAAAGGCGCTTGGAATTTCACTATTTTTAAAAGTGGTCGTTCTGCTATTGTGATTCAAAGTTTAGTTCTACGAGAAGAAATTGATCCTTTTTTTTTAAAAGGGGTTTTAAAAAAGCAAGCTTGCAAAGCTTTTGATGTTTAAACCACGGTAAACAGCATCGATAACCCAGTGTTACCTTTTTACTGTACTAACGGGAAATTATACCCATCAAGTGTTATCAATTTGAGACTCGGTAGGAGACCTTTCCTGTTTCCTAATTAAAAACCCACAGAAAAGAAAAAGAAATTATTATTATTTTTAATAAAAAAGAAGGCTAAACCCAAGGGCCATACCCCCCAGAGGGAAAATAACCCAGCCACAAGATCCCGTAAAAAAATTGATTTTAAATAGGGGGAAACAAGGTAGACAGGAAAAAGATAGGGGGAAAATGACAAAAAAAATGGTAGGAAGAAGAAGTGAATGAGGGGTAAAAATAAATTCTTATTATCATTTTTTTTTTTTTCAAGCTGTGTTTTAGAATTTTTAAAGTAAATTTTGCGTCGTTTTTTCCTTTCGGCGTAACGGTCGGATGGTCAGTGTACGGATGCCAGTCCCAGCAGTGAAGAAGGTAAACTTTGTACACTTAGTAACCCGTGTACATTGAATCCCAAAGTTTTGTTTTTACCTTTTACATGTCTCGACAATGTGAGGCCTTTTAAGGGCTAGCTTAAGGTAAATCTATGGTTGTGGTACCTGTGCTCATGGTTTTTTTCTTTCCTTGGAAACCCTCACATGGTTTCCCTTTTTAAATTCCTGGGATTTTTCTTTGAAAATATCTGGAAAAATTTTTAAAATATATATTTTATATATATATATATATATATATATATATATATATATATATATATATATATATTATATATATATTATTATATATATTATATATATATAGGGCAAGGAGGGCAAGGAGGGCAAGGAGGAAAACATCTTGTAGGAGTGAGGAGAGCCATTGTGGTGTGGGGGAAGTTCGTGAGGCAGTAGGTAAAATGAAAGGGGGTAAGGCAGCCGGGATGATGGGATAAAAGATAGAAATTTTTAAAAGCAGGTGGGGATATATTTTTTGGAGTGGTTGGTTGCAATTATTTTATAAATGTTTGGAAGAGGGTAAGGTACCTAGGGATTGGCAGAGAGATGCATAGTTCCTTTGTATAAAGGCAAAGGGGATAAAAGAGAGTGCAAAAATTATAGGGGATAAGGTCTGTTGAGTGTACCTTTGAAAAAGTGTATTGGTTGAGTTATAATTGAAAGAATTAAGAGTAAGACGGAGAAATAGGATAGCAGATGAACAAGGAGGCTTTAGGAAAGGTAGGGGTGTGTGGACCAGGTTTTTTTACAGGAAAACATATACAGTGACAGTATTTAGATAAGGCTAAAGAGGTCTTTGTGGCATTTATGGATTTGGAAAAAGGCGTATGACATGGGGGGATAGGGGGGCAATGTGGCAGATTGTTGCAAGTGTTATGGTGTAGGAGGTAGGTTACTGAAAGCAGTGAAGAGTTTTTACGAGGGACAGTGAGGCTCAAGTTAGAGTATGTAGGAAAGAGGGAAATTTTTTCCCAGTAAAAGTGGGCCTTAGACAAAAATGTGTGATGTCACCATGGTTGTTTAATATATTTATAGATGGGGTTGTAAGAGAAGTAAATGAGAGGGTCTTGGCAAGAGGCGTGGAGTTAAAAGATAAAGAATCACACACAAAGTGGGAGTTGTCACGCTGCTCTTTGCTGATGACACTGTGCTCTTGGGAGTTCTGAAGAGAAAGCTGCAGAGATTGGTGGATGATTTGGTTGGGTGCTGCAAAAGATGGAAAATTAAAGGTGTTACAGGAAAGAGTAAGGTTTTATGGGGGGGGAGGAATCCAAAAAGATTAGGTGTGATTAGATTGAATATCAGTTTGGAGGAGAGAGTATGGAGGGAAAAGCGTGAACGTATTCATATATTGTGGGAGTGGACGTTTGTCAGCGGATGGGTCTCTATGAAAGATGAGTGAATCATAGAAAATTGTTGAGGGGAAAAAAAGAGTGAGTGGTGCACTTAGGAGTCTGTGGAGACTAAAGAACTTTGTCCTTGGATGGCAAAGAGGGGAATGTATGTGAGTTAGTTTTATCCAACGCTCTTATATGGGTGTTGAACGCATGGGTGATGAATGTTGCAGCGAGGGGAGAAGGCTGGAGGCATGGAGATGTCATGTCTGAGGGCAATGTGTGGTTGTGAATATAATGCAGAGAATTCGTAGTTAGTTTGGAAGTTAGGAGGAGGTGCAGGGATTACCAAAACTGTTGTCAGTAGGCTGAGGAAGGGTGTGTTGAGGTTTTCGGACATGTAAGAGAATGGAGCGAAACAGACATGACTTTCAAAGAGTGTATCAGTCCTTGTATGTTGTGGAAGGAAGGCGGGGGGGGGGGGTAGGGGTCGGCCTAGGGAAGGGTTGGAGGGAGGGGTAATGGATGTTTTGTTGTGCGAGGGGCTTGGACTTCAGCAGGCATGGCGTTGAGCGTGTTTGATAGGAGTGTGAATGGAGGACAAATGGTTT